TCGTTCCAAAGCGCGCGTTGATAAATTTTAATGGTGGTTTGTTGTAGTTGTTGTTATTAATGCCATTGTTATATAGAGGTAATTATACAATTCTGAAACCAGCTTTATTGAATTTTACGTAAAGTAAACTGGGCTTTTATTGCTATTATCTAAATGAAAATAAAATTACTTTGTCCAGCCGAAAAAATTTTGAGTCGCTGGCTCCTGACCAACGAAGAAGTTTATAAGGTGCAAGGATTTTATCAGCTCATTCTAAACTGTAAAATCCGTGTTGAATGATACTTTTACAATACGGAGTTCCTATGTTTCTTAAATTTCACAACTCAGCGGTTCCAAAACAATTTCGGTGCACAGAAGTTTTTTGGAAATGAATTAAATACTTTTTTTTCGTTATTGTATTTATATGAGTGCTTTGTATATACATATGTTTTTTAATGTTGTGATTTACCTTGTATAAGTACGTTTTTAACCTAGTGAATGCTTCCCTTCTCCACGCCCCTACGCGCGGCTTGCATTAGGCAAGAAGGGTGCGGAAAAAGGCCCAAAACGTTTAGAAGTAGGTTCGACGGAGGCAATCAAATTTAATGTAAAAAGGTACGAGCGTTTACGCCTGATTTAGGTATAATGGAGCGAATTCATCCCTCTCCTGGTAGTATCCACTCCAGACTGCCCCTCGTCAAATAGAGAATTACGTTTTCTAACACTTAAATGCACTTCTTATGGGACACGCTTGAGTGGAAGCGTCGGGAGAGATCGGAGGTATGCAATTGCCCCTTAAAAAGAAGTTTGGAAGATTTCGTTTGCAACAAAATTGCCTTTTCAGCTTTTCGTACGACGTAAACAGGGGTATAGGGTTTGATAACGCTCAACCAATAGTGAACAAGACTTTGTGCAAGTCATCGACAATGCCGCGAACATAATTCGTGAGCAATGGGGCAAGTGTGATCGCATACTTGCACATCCGGTTAGAATGTCCTAATGCATTGTACTAGATCCTTGGTAGCAACATCTATTCATCTTTGCTACAATTAAATATATATTTCAAAATAAAACCTAAGGCTCTTAGGTATATTAATGAAAATTTACTACCAAACATCAAACAGGTTTAAAGCCTTGAGGGTCTCGTTACGATGTCAGGTTTTTAAAATGTACTCCCCCGAAAATTGTCGACTACAGATTTTATGGAACGACTTTGTCAAATCGCCGATAAAGAATTTTTTTCACGTGAAGCGGGATATGCCGAGGTGGAATAATTTTTTTATATAGCCTCCATATATTCGTTATCTCGTTAGGATACTGAAAAGGTTTCAACTAAATGCCCATAAACATATATCTTTAGTACGAGAGAAGCGTTTTATGTTAGGACTAAGATGATCCTTTATCTTTGAATTTAAACATCACTTGATCGCGCAAGGCCCCCACGTTTCGTTCCGAATGATACATTAAAATTGGAGATCAAGACTCGAACATTTCGCTTATGGCGTTGTAAATGATGTTTTAGAAGTACCTTTTTAGAATTTATTAAAAAATATTCATTTGTTTTATATTTATCATATCAATTGCCTGTAGACGGTGTCTTAAACTCGATAGTAAGGTGTTAAATGGGATGAGGTAAGCTCCATTTTCAACCCAAAGTATTATCTTTGGGATTTGACGTAAACAACTAATGACGTCATTAGTCGTTTGTGTCAAATCCCAAAGATAATACTTTTGTAGAGGTACGCTACAATTACATTCAGTACCTGCCCCAATAAATATATTTTGCTTTCTGGGAATTTACGAGCCTCATAAATTATACTTTGAATTATCCGAGATTATCCCAAATAAATGTATTTAGCAAATGAGATTAGAATGAGTAGGCTGTAAACATAAATTAGTTGTTGTTTATTAGGGTACATAAGCACAAACCGAGTAAGTAATGGCCCGGATAAGTGTTAATTGGGATAGAGTAATAAAAGTAGGTACATGGGGACAAGGATAAAAACCGAAAACATTTCGAGGCATGAACCGGAAGTCAATTGAAGCCTAGTTCCTGCTCGGTTGTGTCTCGTGTTACCAGCGAAGTTAGTAGACTAAAGTTTTCCATGCTACTTAGAGTTTTTTCCTCACTTGAAGACCAAACCACTATACTTTGAAAATGGAGCTTACCTCATCCCATTTAACACCACGTGTTCCAAATTTTAACTCCAGTGAGATAATTAACATAAAATTAACTGTATTTATTGACTTTATATGTTTTATAAATATTTTGTTTACGTAACAAGGAAACGACCCCACTGCGTCGATCCCATGCTACACCCCGTGAATTCAAGTGGTGAAATTGAAACGTATCGCCCTCCCCTCGAGGCAAACCACGTCACGATTATTCACACATGAAATAATTTGAATTTCCACCCTACCCCTGAGCAAAATTGGACGTACAACTTAGCGGCGAAGGTCAGGAGTAAAATTTCGGATATCTCCCTATAAAATATTCAAGGAGTTCGATTCGTCGGCCACGTATCTCATCCTTTTTATGCACAGTAGCGTCGCCAAGGGAAATTACGACAACAAAGAGGGTAATATTTTTTATATAGAGACCCGGGTTCTAGGAAAAGAATAAGTCTTGCTTTGGGAGAACGGGTGGTTTCGTTTTATTACTTAGTCCGAACAAAATTTACATTTTGATTGTGTTAATATCAGAAATATTTAATAAAAGGGATCAACACGCGGGCAAGTCGCACGCAATGTTTTTGTATGTGACCTTTTTTTGTTTCGGTCGCATGGCAGTTGCTTTGTCTTTATGAAACTAGTGGGAATTTAAAAAATGGAGCTGATACGTTAACTTCTCGCAGAAATAACCAGAAAACAAAAACACATAAATTATACTTTGAATTATCCGAGATTATCCCAAATAAATGTATTTAGCAAATGAGATTAGAATGAGTAGGCTGTAAACATAAATTAGTTGTTGTTTATTAGGGTACATAAGCACAAACCGAGTAGGTAATGACCCGGATATGTGTTAATTAGGATAGGGTAATAAAAGTAGGTACCTGGGGACAAGGATAAAACCGAAAACATTTCGAGGCCCGAATTAGAGGTCTTGAAACCTAATTCCTGCTCGGTTGTGTCTCGTGTTACCAGCGAAATTAGTAGAATAAAGTTTTCCATGCTACTTAGATTTTTCTCCTCACTTGAAGACCAAACCACTATAATATGGTTAATTTTTTTTCAAATAAAAGATGAAATAAAAAATTATGCAGAGGTATATAATCGAATTAAAACCCGAGCACTTATTTACCCTGTACACCCTGTATATATTAGCCTCTGGAAGTTTATTAAAACTGAACTAATTTGAATGAGACTTTTTTAAAATGTTGGGGGAATTACACAGATTAAGAATCTCTAAGCACAAATTCATTTGGTCACGAACGTTTTTCATTTTTAATGATTTTTTGTATATTATAAAAAAATTGCAATTTTTCTGGTTTCCGGTGTAAATCTCCTTTGATCGTTCAATATAAAATTTGATACTGTTACAATATGAAAAGGAATATCCAAAAAGTAGAATGTAAATAGTCAGCAGGTATGAAAGTATCCAGGTGGGAAATACAGTATACGTGAAGATGATGATTCTATGTAATTTTTTATTTAATTTTTTCCTGATTTTGTAAAAAAAATATGCATGTATATAATTTTGTAATAAAAATATCTAAATATTACCTTGTATTTACTTATTATTTACTACCTTTTAAATTTAAAATATTGCTAGGCTTTCGTGAATGTTAGGACACCCCATAAATAGCTAAATCGTTCGTCGGTCGTCTCACCTATGGCATACTGATGAGAACCAATAAGTTCGAAACCGGTCTATGCCTGGTGGTTTTACCGACCAATGTCTCACCTATGGCATACTGATGAGAACTAATAAGTTCGAAACCGGTAATTCTACCGACTGATACCTCACCTATGGCGTACTGATGAGAACTAACAAGTTCGAAACCGGTTTGTGTTTGGTGGTTTTACTTACGAAGGTATCATCTATGGGATACTGATGAGAACCGATAAGTTCGGAACCGGTCTATGTCTGGTGAGTCTACTGATGATGACAAAAAACGTCTCACCTAAGACGGACGTACCGATAAAAGCTAATAAATTCTAAACCGGTCTATGTCTGGTGGTTCCGCTGACGAATGATCTTAGCTATTGCGGCTGTAGTTCGATGCTGGACGAGCCTACGGCCAGCAGAGTAGTCGCATTCCAAATATCGTTAGTTATAACTCGCAAGTCTGTTTATAATATCCCAACTCTGAGCCTGTTTGCATATCATAAACATAACGAGTACATAATTTCACCTAATTCTCTCACACGTAGTTAGTTTGTTTTAATAAAATTCAAATTACGCTATTAGTATGCCGCGGGATTTGAAATCTGGACCCAGTGTTGTTTATGTAAAGTTTAAATATGGACCCGTTCTGCTTGACGTATTCTCCACATTACCCTAAAAATTGAACGCTGTAAACTACTATTATTTTCTGCTTCGCTTGGAAGAGCACCATTATTCACCGGCATGAGGATTATATTTTTCCTTTGTTCCTCCGTTCAAATAGGTCTCTTTATCTTCCAAGGATGTAAAAGAGGTGACAAAATGCGAAGAAGAAGAAGAAAAATTACGGAGTGTTTGCAGAATAAATGTAATGAAAGAACTTACGGAAATACCTCTTTTTGAGATATAGAGCATCAAAATCTACGGCTGATAAACATGCCATAAAAAAGTTGGTTTGAAATCTCGAAAACCGCTCTCCAGAAGCTTCGCATCGATCAATTTATTCTATATGTATCTAACGGCACCTTAATGCTTGCCCTGTTAGCTTACCAATTCAGATCTTTTGCTGAGGGTTTTTGTCGTTTGTGCGGGTTTATTTATTTGAATGTCGCCACAAAGTTTCCGATGTCTAGTTATAATTATTTAAATTTTCAGAAAAGTATACATTTTTAACTCAGTATTTTAATTTCAGGAACCTGAAGCCCTTCTGGTAGAGGACTTAGAGCAGAAAAGTGAGTATTTATTTAAACTCTAAAAGAAATAGATTTATTTTTATTAGTTATATTTTTAGAGACATATTTATATTTTTCTACAAGGCCCTTCTGCGAACGATTTCAATATTTCACCGTTTTCACGTTCCTTTCGAGTACATCCGTGCGCGATATTTTAATCTTTTGCGCTAGATCGATTATTTTCCTATCCCCTCTAACCGTTCAAGTAAAAAGCGATCCTTTGAAAACGCCTCAAGCGCTTCATTTTTCACGTGATAAATGTATTATCTTCCCCCCATGCCACCATACCGCGCAAAAAACGGCCTAATGTGCTTTTATAGCTGAAAAATCAGATTCCTTTCAGGATTCACTCGATTGCGATCTTTGGCAAATTGAAAAATGTATCCTGAAAGGGACTAATAAAACGCTGAAAGCTTTTCAGTGTCTGATTTGTTGCTTTTATAATTACTGTCCTACTCCTTACTTGAAATACATAACCTCAAAAGTCAGCCAAAGGAATGGTGACGATTGTACTGAACCAATTAAAGTCACAGTAAAATGACAATTAGTAAACGCGATGGGAATAATTATCCAGATTTTATAAACGTTACTAATTGTAATAACTGTACAATTACCATAAATATTGTCTATTGTTTTATCTGATCCAAGTTTGGCAACAGCATACAAGCTGGCAAGGTATAGGTTACAAAAATTTGGCAGTATTAATCTGTATTTTTACCCCAGTGAAACAAGTGTGAATTGATTTATGACGTAAATAGGTGCGGCTTGACACATTTTTGAGATTGTCGTAATCAACTACGTCACTCGAATAGCAACACCTTTTTGTAATATATTTTCCCTCGTCGCTAAGGCACATGTTATATTCAGATCACATTTACGCTCCAACAAAACGTTGAGGTTTGTATCACTGAACCCAGGAAAAGGCGGTACCCTTCAAATATAACCACGGAACACTGATTTACCACAGTTAATATCACGGAAACAATCGCGGCCCGATGAGACGCCTCTCGCGCTTACTTGATCTCCCAGTTTCCGCAACAAGTTTTTCACTTTCTCGCCGGCCTATTAAATTACGGCGCATCAAAAGAAAAAGTAATTTCCCAATTCCCCCAGAGACGGCTTGTTTAGTCGCAACCTCCGGAATAAAAATAAATGACATTGGCGCGCTGCCGCTTCATTTGTTTTGATTAACTATTGTGTTCGGCCAAATTGACTCAAATCTGAAACCATTAATTTGTTTTAAACGTTCCGCGGTGTAAATATTTATTTTCTAAGCTCGAACAACCCACCGCCGATCGATGGCCGTAGGAAATTGGGTTTGTACGTTTCCGACCTGTGGAGTAAATTGGAAAAATGTTATTCGTACGGTTCTGCTGTTAAGTTCGTGTCGGTTTAATTAACGCGGCATTGTGCGTGGTTCGGGGCGCGTTAATTTCAGAGGTTTCGACTGTGTACAGGGCGTAGCGTTTTGATTTTCCGAATATGAATAGATTAAACAAGGTGTTGTGCAAAACCGTACTTATCTTATCAACTTCGACGCCACCTGTTACATGAGTGTTGCAATAATGAAAAAGTAATATTAACGGTCGGTAGAAGGAAGCACAAAAAACAAACGCTTAGGTGGGGAATTCTGGAAGGAAGCCTAAATAGTTGAAGTGAGAAACAAATTAAATAATTATTAGTCTGGACGATCCCGAGGATCTTCCACAATCGCACACTGATTTTTTTCATGGTAGATTTCATAATAATACACTGAAATCTATCATTTTTTTTTTAATTTCATATTTGCTACCTGGAATTTTTTTTTATTTTGTAGCCTTAGTTGCAAAATCAAATATACGACGCACGAGCGTGATATAGGTATATATTAATACATATTCCGAAAGCTTATGAAAAGAGCTTTAAGTTAAAAAAACCGTCAAGATTCGTTGAAAAACAACGGAGTTACAGGCTGTCAAAGTTGACGGCCTATTGTTAAACAAATTAGGTTGGTAGCGGCAAAAAAAATACTGTCATAACCGGCGACCCTAGCACTTTCCCAGATAAAAATATTTTATTTGTAGAAGTATGTTAAGTGCATAAGAAATATTGTCAAGTCAGTGGGTCGCTTGATTTTCGGCGAGCCGTGGCGCGGCGGAAGGGTGGGGGAAACGAACAACATCGAGTCCGAAGAAAATGATGATAATATTCATAGTCCTGCCGTTAAATAAACGAAATTCGCTTGAAAATAATATATTTGACAGTCTGTAACTCCGTTGTTTTTCAACGAATCTTGACGATCAAATTTTCTAGACTGACGTGCATTTACATCATTAAAGTCGTCCATAAACTACCAGTTTTGTAGCGACGCGACGTATGGACAGCTTTATTTAATAAATATTATATTCTATAACTTTAAAGTACTAGGTTGCAGTTTTAAGTAAAAAAAAAAGTTTTTTGTGCCTAGTCGTGGAAGAATTTACATTTTAGTCTCTTACTTCATAATAATACAAGGTGGGTACCGTATAATTTACTGTGTAATTATCGAGACGCCATTTTCCGAATTAATTGTCTCCATCAGGGGGCTTTTCCAGCAGATAATGCGATAATGCCTATAACTCCCCGGCATTTCAACAAGGGACGCGGGCAAACTTGGAATTGATATTCTGCTAACAAACTCCAAGTTTATTATTATGCCGAAGTTTTCCATTAGAACACTTGCATTGTCCCGCTCGCAAGGAATACCACCAGTTTTCTATTTGATTTTAAATTTCTCACAACGCCCAACTTTTAATTGGTACGGCTCAAAACCCGCTGTTTGTTTTGGCAAAAACCCAAACCGATTTTCTTCTCGTAATTGAGTTCGAGTAATTTTCGGAGTTCGGTTACCGAGAGTTCGTTATTGGCTTCATAACGTCAAACATTAATAAAATCAAGAGCTCCCGGCCCGAAATGTATCTTCCAATTAACTGTAAAAAAAAACTTTCAGGCCACATCACGAAATTAATAAACAAGTTATTTAGTTTTCTCCGCTCTAAAAGCCTCATGTTACCGCGACTACGATATTAAGGAGGTATATCGGGGTCCGAGGGAAGTGAGGAGCACAGGGGGGGGGTCCTATGCTTTTCTTATGGGACTAAAACCCGCTGCCAATTTGAAAAAATTAAATTCTATTGAAATTATTTGCGATAAACATTATCTATATAGCAAAGAAATCTACTCATATGCACATAGCATACATATTGACTAATTAACAACATAAAAATATCATATTTAAGTAATTATAAATTATATTTAATGAACGCATAAAGACTATGTAGATGTGGCAACAGCGCTAATAATTGACTAGCAGTTGTATACACTGCGAACCTACAGACCTCGGACATCGGAGATATTGCGTGTCAAATTCGGGTAAAGATGCGTACGCGTTCAAAAATATATTGTATGTAAACTATGTACAATATAATTATTATATTATATAGCAAATATATCGTATTATCCTCGCGAAGATTTGTATCCTTTATTTAAAATCCGTAAATCATATGAACTGGCAAAACAACGAGAATTATGTTAATTTAGTTCTAAAGAAATGAAATGGTACTCGCGTCCATCTCGTCCAAGTCAAAGAAAATGTTGGATGCAATTTTGAAGGTTCTGTGATAGAAATTACATTATTACACACTGTTCGTGTTTTTAATCTCTATTTGAGTAATGTTACAAAAGTTTTGCAACTATAACTAATTTTTTAGATATAAAGTTTGCTGAGAAATATTTATATTTTTATAAACCATTAAATATATTAAAAGGATTTATCAACTGTATTTTTTATTCCAATAAATATATCACAGCTTCCTAGTCTTTTTTAATTAATCTAGTTTTTAAAAACATTACAAAAAATCATCTGTTGTGGATAATTTATTGTTGATAACAATGTACATGGGATTTAGGAAAATGTATATGTTTGAAATCAATTTCGTTTTTATCAAGTCTTTCAAATGTATTCCCTTCTTGCTGTCAGCTGATCGCGACGTTGCCACATTAATCCTCAAGTCAGACAGAAATGCGATTATTGGTTTCTGTTTCTAATTAAAACAGCTGTACTATGTTCAAAACTTACATTAGTTTTACATAAAAAATAAGATAATACTGTGTACTATCTATGGAAAAGTTTTGTTTCACAATTTCTATATTTTTTTCTCAGTTATGAGCAAAAAAAGAGCCGCACCGTCCATCTTCGCCATATAAACCTATGTTAAAATGAACAACTTTCAACAACATCTCAAAATCTAGATTCAAAAAAAAATTCAAAAAAATATGACGCGCAGAGGGAGCACTGGCTAATACGCTATATAAATTTCAAGTACATCTGTGCATTTGAGTAAACCCGATATTCCTCCTTAAGTCGTGCCAAGAAACCGAAACAATCGGTTTTGGGATATAAAGCCTGTCGCACACTTCGCAACTTTCCCTCAGTTTTGATCGTACAGCCAGCTTGCAAAATTTTAATTTCAAGGACAGATTTACTCCGTAAGTGTCAATTCTTGTTGCTACATGAAAAATTAATAAAATTTTCAATGTAATTGAACAATGGGAACAATGACAAACCGTTGCGTCTACGCTAGGCATACACCAATCACAGCCAGTGAAATAGAATGTTGCATTTCAATGTAATCTTGATTTTATCTTAAAAATTTTTAATTTTACCCATAACAAAGGCTCTGTATACGTGGAGATAAAATATAAACTGTCAATTATTCACTTCAAAATCCACTCGCAAGCCCGCTTGATCCGCAGACATAAACGTCTTTACATATCAACCGAAAATGGTTTCGGGGGGCTTTACACAGAACCCTAATCCAGTTTTTTTTATATATTTTCCATGCCTCAGGCCGTCTGTTGAATATTTTTTTGTGAAGAAGCACCCTACTTTGATACGTCAATGTAAACCGCAATAAAGTACCAAAAATCCAGTAACATAAAACAATTTTTTACATCGAAGCGATCGGGGATCATATTTGTGT